AGGAAACCTGAAACCCATATTTTATTACCCTAAAATACACATCCCTCTTAAATAGCCCACCACTATTGAATAACAATGGTTAACAAGAATAGCAACTGCATGCTGAATACAGTTATATACCAGACACTGTGAGAGACACCTCATTTGCTTTTGCAGGTAACACGCGTGCATTAGTCAGATGCGTTTACAGTGACTCAGAAACGTGTTACGTAACTTGTCCGGAGTCACACGACTGGTAACGGTGTAGCCAGGACTTAAATTCAGGTCCTTGTGACATAAAAATCTGCCCTTAACTTTCTTGATTTGGGGCCCACTAACATAATAAACTCAGTCCCTTACTTTCTGGGTCACCTTCAATAAGTTCTTTTCCCTGTGGAAGTCTCCATGTCCCTCTCTGTGAGATGAAAGGGCTCAATGAAATGGCCTCTAGGGACCCTTGGGCTTGTAAGTTCTCCAGCTTACACTTGCTTGGTTTGTCTGGGGTGACCTGAACAACACAAGGCATCCCCCACCTTCCAAACCTAGTGCCCGCTCCTGCCCTCCATTGATCGAGCCGCAGGACCTTCGAGAAGGAAGGGCTGGTTGTTTTAAGAGTCCTCAGGGGCTGCCAAAGAGAGAGCAGAGGGCCTTTGGGATGAAGAGTGGGTGCAGCAATGGGGGGCAGAGTCCGGAGGCAGCAGGAGCTGGGCAGAGGACCGCTGGGGAGGCAGCTGCCAGGCTCCAAAATCAGGGTGTCCAGGGCCTAGGCCTGGGGACTGTCTATGGTGAGAGCTCTCAGCCAGGGACCTGAATGACCACCAGGCAGACAGGGCCAGAGGGGGAGGTCTGGCAGGAAGTCCCTTGACCTCTTGGGCACGGGCTGCCAGTGGCTCTGATTTGCCATTACCAGGCTTTTGTTGGCAGCTGGCTTTGTCCTGCCTAGCACCTGTCCCCATCCCACACCATGGCTTCAACCCTGCTCCTGCCAGCGGTGCCCACGTCCAGCCCACCCTGGACTCCTTGGCTGGAGAAAGGGAGTGGCAGTGGGCATGTCTGGCAGGCCAGGCACTTTACGAGTCTTCCAGCTGTCACTCTGGGGCCTTTGACTCTCAGTAGCTTGTTCCCAGGGAAGTCCTCCAGTTTCCCCTCCCAGTGGTGGCTGGAACCCACACTGTCCCCTGCAATGCCACACAGGAAAATCTCCTGGGGGAAATGCCCCACAGCCAAGGGCACAGCACCAGCCCTGAAAGGGACTTCTGATTCAGCGGGGTTGGGGGGAGTCATCAGTGCCGAAGAGAGCTCTGTGCCCCTCCTGTCCTACCACTTCAAGGCCTGATTGCTGGGAGATTAACAGCAATTTAACTGTATTCACCATCCCAGCTTGAGCCCAGGCCTCTTGACAGGCCCCGCCACACAGATTCACGCCTGCGTCCTGCTCTGGTCTCTCCCCGACCTGCCCAAAGCCATTTTTATGGTGCATGAAAATTATTCCATAAGGACAGGTTCATTGTGTTTCTGGGCCCAGGTGTGGTAGGAGGGCACCACCCACATGGGGGTGCCAGGGCGTGCGGCAGGGTAGAGGTATGTGCAAAAGGCGGCTTCGGGCCGCGTGAGTCAGCTTTCAATCCCAGAAGTCAGCTTTGCAAACATCAGCGCACACCTTCGCGCAGACAGCTAGTCAGGGGAGAAGGAAAGAAGGAGGGTGTGGCCTGCAGCGGCCTCTCCAGGGGTCGCTGCAACTTGAACAAGCCTAGGGGAGCCCCATCTTTCAGAACCGGGCCCTGGACTCGTGCAGTGTGTCTTACCCAGAGACCTGGGCTCTGCGACCTGCCCGTGGAGCCCCCAGCGCTCCCGGCACCCCCGCTGCAGTGACATAGAGCCAGGGGGTGGATGCTGTGTGTCAGGCAAATGGGTCCTGGAGAGTTGAGAGGGACTCCAGGAATTTGTTTCACTCTTGGCCTGAGCTTTGTACACAAATCTACTCTCTTTGCTACCAGTTAAAGGTTCCAGCTGTGCCCAGAGGCAGTGGCCAGCGGCAAGAAAGAGGGGAATGCAGGGTTAGGATTAGATTTAGGGTACGGCTTGTCTGTCCCCATGGCCCTGGCAAGCAGCTGGCAACAAATGAAAAGGGCTGTGATGCTCTGGAGACTCAGAGACACTTGGCCATGGGCATTGGACTGGGCATCAGACAACCTGGTTTTGGGGTTCTTTTTATCGGCTATTTATCAGCTGTGAGTCTCAACAGCGTGAGAGATAAAATGGGATAATTATTTCCTGCCCGTCTCCCTCCCCTGACTAACCCATCCTGGAATCCCCAGGGCCCAGCACAGGGCTTGGCACAGATGGGAGCCCCCACCGCGGAAGGGCCAGCACTCTAGAGCGGCGGCCAGGGCCTCTGCCTGCTGTGTGCTGGGTGGGGCCAGGACAGAGTTGGGGTCATAGCTCCGTACTATGTCCTAGACAGCAGAGAAGCCGGCCTGCACTATGAATCTCCTGTGGAATTGCCAGGGCAGGCGCTGGAACCCAACTGCTGAGTGACTGTGGGCAAGTTCCTGAATGGCTCTGTATCTCAGTTTCCTCATCTATAAATGAGGTATCTTTATAATGCTTATGTCACAGGGTTCTCGTGAGGTGTAATGAAGACAATCCATTTGAGTGCTCGGCGCAGTACCAGAGACACAGCATGAACCCTCAGTAACATCAGCTGTCATTATGATGGTGATGATGATGATGATGATGATGATGATGATTACTACTCTGACTAGCATCATCACTATAGAGCCTTGAGTAGCAGGGCACTAGGTTGATGTTCTGTCACTCTCCTCAAGGGTGGGATTGCCTGGGGCCCCAGCGTGGCACTCACCGTGGCATTGACGGTGAGCTGGTAGGCCTGCGTGGTCTCGTAGTCCAGCTCCTGGATCACTGTGACGATGCCACGGGCGCTGTCGATGGCGAAGAACGGGGAGGGGGGCTGGAAGGAGTAGAGGACGCTGCCTCCTGCACCCAGGTCGGGGTCTGTGGCGTTCACGATGAAGATGGGCGTCCCCACTGGCGTGTTCTGGGGTGAAGCAAAGCAAATAAAAGGGTGAGTGGAGCTCGGAGCAGCTGCCTTCATCAGTGACTATTCCCCCAAAGCCCATTAACCACGTCCCTCCAGCCAACCAGACCCATGGCCTTGTCATTTTTATTCTAAGAGGGTTCAGAGGAATTTAAAATGCAGTTTCTATTTTTTTTTTCCTTTTTTTGATGGCCTCCTGGTGGCTATAACAGCGCCAGTTCCAAAGATGATCTGCCCATCCTGGAGTTCTGGATGAAAGCCTTTCAGTCCCAAAACCCCTGTTTCTTGGCAGTTTTGCTTCCTCTGTTGAGTGCACCCAGCCTGCCCGAGCCTCAGGCCAGGGCTGCTCTGGAGGACACCCGCCAGTCTGCGTGCCAGGAGGTTTCAAGGGCAGGGAGCTGGGAGGTGTGTGCTATGGGCATGTGGCAGGGGCCTGGGGGCTTGGCTTGGCACCCTGGCTTGCCCCGGGGTCGGGCACACACATACCATCCCTGGGCCATGGCAGCCTGCCATCAGAGGGGCCCACAAGGCATGCTCAGACGTCACCACGTCCTGGGAGCCTTCTGTGATTCCCTCTGCCATACAACGTGTAGAGACCCCTGCTGCTTTCTCACCTGGGGTCTTGGGTTAAATGTGACTTCCTCATGGAGGCCTTCCAGATCCCTAGGCAGGGCAGCCCCCACTGGCCCCCACCCACATCACTGGTTATATTCAGGGCCCACAGCACCCTGGAATTCTTTGTCCCCTACACTTTTATAACTCCTTGGTCAGCGCCTGTTTTCCTTCATAGCCATGTGCTCCACGGAAGACAGGGGGCTCTATCTGCCTTGCTTAGCACTGTGCTGGGCACATATCAAATGTTCAAGAAGTACCCCTTCTGAAGACATGAAGGAGTCTCTGATAGCACGTAGCACATTATATTTTGAGTATCTGTTAGCATCCCCTGCCCAGCTGTCAGCTTTCATCACTGCGGCGTCCGCCACAGGGCCTGGTTGGTAAGCCATGCCTGCTAACTGCTGGATGGGTTGATTTATTCATAATTTAGTGAGCTCCAGACACATCTGAGGACAGGCAATCTAATGAGGCCCTTCACAGAGAGAAAAGGTAAAGATCTCTGCTCCCATTGACTCATTGTTATGTGCCAGGTCCCGTGCCGGGGACTGCATCTGTGACAATAGCTTTCTAGGTAGCAGCTATCGTCCTGTTTTTGAAAAAGAGGCTGAGATTCAGAGAGGTAAAATAACGTGCCCAAGTCACAAGAGCTAGGCAGTGGTCGGCGGCCTTGAATTCAGGTCCAGCCCATGACCTCAACCTCTCTACTAAATGCTTCTCTAAAATATCGATGGCTATCCTTTCCCTAACTCTTATGTGTGACGCTAAGGTCAACTGCCAGCATAGGTGGCACCTGCTGGCCAGGAGTGTGGAACTGGCCTGTAAGCTCCCTGAGGGCAGAGACAAAATATTTCTGGTCCTCTGTGCTCTTTTTACACTGGGACAAATGACTGGGTCCTCTCTGACACGTGCAGGGCTTTTTTCAAGAAGGGCACCCACACTGCTGGCCCCTCTCTGTGCTGCTGGCCATAACCGGGGCCATGCATCACTGCCTTAAGCAGCTTCTTTCTTTGGGGACCAGGCTCGGGCATGCCAACAGCCCTTCTCCAGGACTATCTGCTTGAGGCAAGGGTGTCCTTAGTAAGGTCCCTAGTCAGGCTGGAGAGAGACCCCAGGATAAAAAGCCACAGAGTTGTCACTGTTCTGAGTGTGTGGATTCTCTCTATCACCAGGCAAGTATCAGGCTCGGTGTAGGACCAGTCCTCCTCTACCCAGCACTGAGGACGGGAGGCAGGCGGGGAGGCCCCTCTCCTCCACAACGTGCGTGACCCCCTGGTGCCCCTTTGCATAGAATGCAGGCGCTCAGGGCCTGGCCCCGTCTCCTGCCTTCACACTTTATTTCCTGGCAGTTATGGATTCTTGGCTTTTTAGCTAACATCATGTGTAGTATCTGTTCTTATCAGTTTAATATTTCCTGGCAGGTAGAGCTATTTGTACTCCTCAAACCCAGCAGGCTTCCTCACACCTCTGGGTTTCTGAAACTGCTTTTCCTTCACTAGGTCTGCCCTCCCCAGTTCTGGGGCTTGGAAAACGGATACTCTTTTTTCCCCCCCAAAAGAGAATCAAGTGTGCAAGGAGGCTAGGATTTCTGGGATGGACAGACCTTGGCTGGAACCCCAACCTTTCTGTGTGTTTTTGGGCTAGTTACTTAATCTCTCTGACCCTTAATTCCCTCTCTGCACACTGAAGTTAATAGTATCTCCTATGAAGAGTACAGAAACTCATGAGTGTAAACTTCCCAATATGTAGTAAGTGCTTCAAAGATGGCAGTTGTGATTTTATTGTCTGAGTACCTTCTAGAACTGCAGACAAGAACGCCTTCAATGTTAGGACAGGGTGGTGTCAAGAAGCACTATGAATTTTAATGATACTGTGCTGGAAATTCCTTGTCTGCACCAACCCCCCGGATCCACTGAGTACCCTGTTCTGCCTCCACCTTCCCACCCATCTGCCCCCTAGGGTGACCTCACTGCATTCCCAGGCTCCCTGGCCAGCTGGCTTCTGATAATGGAGGTGCTGGTCAGAGCTCAGGGTTTGGGGAGGCATCAGGAAGAGAAACAGTTTGGGGTGTTACTTCCCTACTCCATACAGTTCCAGCCTAACAGCCCCTTCTCCCTGGCCCCAGCTTTTGGTGGCCTCTGGCCGCACTATTGCCTTCCCTTCCCCGTTCAGCCCCAGGCAGAGGTAGTAAGAGCTTCCCTGTGGCTAGTCTGATACCTTAGCATCTCTTAATGCCCCTGAGCCATGCCCACCCATCCTCCAAGCACCCAGCTGCTGTCTCTACACTGAAACGCCTTTATCGGAACTACTGAGATGACCTATTTCCTGGGGGATCCTCATGGATACAGGGACTCTGCAAATACATCCCCACAGCCACCAAGTGCAAAGCCCAGGGCTGAACTCCCCTAGCGCTGGGCTCAGTGAAGCCAGCCTCTGCCCTGACATGACACAATGGTGGCACTGGTCTTAGGAGATATTTATGATGTTCTCAGCTAACCTACAGTTCTCTCCCCCTACCCCCCATCCAACATGCACATGACATGTGAGCGCCAGAGTCAGCCACACGCTCCAGAACAAAACACTCCATTGGGGACTGTGGTTCTTGCCACAAGAGGGCTGGACGTGCTGATTGCACAGCACGTCAGACACCCCCCCCACAGAGCCAGTGCCCATGCTCCAGGCCCCTGCCTCGGGGAGGAGAGGACATTTCACCCATCCATACTGCGTGGTCTCTGTGAAGGGTCTCCGAGCATCTGATCAGACTGAAGTGCAAGATCCAAGAAGACAGAGGAAAAGGAAAAAAAGAAGAGGTGGTCCTGTGTCTGACCTTCTTGGCTTTTATGTTTCATGCCCTGCAGTGGAAACCCATTTAGTTTCTGCATAACTTAGAAAAGGTTTTAAGTAGGCCTGGCAAAGAGCCATTCATATTCTTAGAAGGGACAAGCCATTGGAGAGAAGAGAATGCTGACTTCCTGCATTTCAGGTCCTGGGCGCCATGCTCTGTCAGGGAAATGAGGTGTGAGGGGACAGTCATCAATCAGCGTGTACACCGGGGGCTCCTCCAAGCACCCAGCTGCTATTCCATGGAAATGTGCAGATGTGCTCACAGGTCTACGCAAGCAGATTTCCTCCATGGCGCCAGGTGCGCCTGGCTTTCCGAGTATACCTCAGGCAGGAAAAGTTGGTGGCTCAGAGCACGGACTCCAAGTTTGAGTCCTAGCCCTTCCACTCATTGGCTGGAGACCTCAGACATATGCTGTTGAACTTCCTCTGTTGGCCTCAGTTTCCTCATGCAAAGGAAAATGTAAAAATACAGCTAATCACAGTACCTACCTCCCTAGGGCTGTGAGAAAGATTACATAAGATCCTTATGTGGGAAAAAATAAAAGCTTCTTGCTGAGCCAGGCACACAGCAATAGTGAAAAGTACTCAATAAATGGTCATTGAAATTATTATTATAGTAATAAAATACCATCACAGACAGCCTGAGATGAGCCCTATTTAAGGGAGGGCGGGCATTAGAAACAGTGTAAACAGTCAATCTCTTCATCATGAACTTAGACAAATGGGCATTTTAAAATTCAGAAAGAGAACACCTCAGTTGATGGGTTCACGGTTGATGCCAACAGAGCAAGGGTGGGAGAACACCTGGAGACCCTCCAATGTGGGTTTGGAGGGCCTGTGGGAGGAGGGGTGGGGTCCGACGCAGGAGTGGCGGGGGGAGGGTGGTCCTGGAGGGCAAGAAAGCTCCTGAGCACAGCAGCCAGGCCTGACCATGCACCGCTCGGGAAAGGCTTCAACGTAGGAGCTGAAAGGATTATACAGTCCAGCTGCTCCATTTTACAGAAGGGAAAAGTGAGGGTTTGTGCCTTACGCTAGCTCTCCTTGAAGGTGGCTAATAGCAGAGCTGTGACTGGCACTCAGGTGCTTGGCACATATGTAGTGTTTTTGTCATCCCACCCAGAGACACCAACCACCGCCTCTCCACTCACCCTCCTCCCAAGTAAAAGTGCTCTTTATATCCATAGCTCTCTCTGCTCAAAGGGATGGATCTAGGTGGCCATGTTTATATCAAGTGACTTCAGACCCAGACCATATCTGACTGGTCCAGGTGTGACCACCTGACTCTAAGAGTTCAATCAGATGGGGTGTTGGAAGTTAAATCAATTTTCTGTGGGAACTTGAAGAAGAAGATTCTTGCTCTCTGGTTAGGGCCGGCGTGGGCACCATGACAGGTTGTCGCTACACAAAAGCCGTGGGTTTCAGGGCAGCCATGGGCAGGCAGAGGAAGCCCATCTTGAGAAGAACGAAGCATAGTGAGGGAGAAAGACTCTGGGAGCCCCCTGCCCCAGTCTTCTTAGGCCCTGCCTGGACTTCATTTCCTGTCTCTGGCTGTGGTGCTGAAGCCTGGTCTATTCCGTCCTTCCTGTGTGGGTACCCCCTTTGCTCACACTGGATTTGGTGGGTCTCGGCTCCTTAATCTCCACTGGCCACCCTCTCCCCCCCAGAATGCATTCAGCCCCAGACAAGGCCTCCTCATTCCAGCAGCTCTGCCCCAGGCTCTCCCTTATTCTCCCCTGCTGGGATTCTGCCCCTTTAATGCCCACCGTTGGGCCACAGAAAACAAAGCTCCTGGCCACTGAGCCTCGACTGTTGAGGGCACAGAAGGAAATAATGGGGAGAAGAATACAGCTGCCTCGGTGAATGAACACCCGTTCCTTCTTCTTTTTAAGTGTCTCTTTTATTAATATGCAGATCCACTCGGGTCACTGCAATGATCAGCGTGCAGCCCTGACTGGTGTGGCTCAATGTGTTGGGTGTTGTTCAGTAAACCAAAGGGTCATGGGTTCAATTCCTGGTCAGGGCACATGCCTGGGTTATGGGACAGGTCTCCAGCAGGGGGCATGCGAGAGGCAACTGATCGCTGTTTCTCTTGCATATCGCTCTTTCTCTCCCTCTCCTTCTCCCTCCCTTCCCTTCTCTCTAAAAATACATAAGTAAAATATGCTTAAAAATGATCAGCATGCAGGTGGGGGTGGCAGAGGTGGGCAGGGGACAGCTCGATCATGGGCATGACACAATTGGCCGTGACAGGCCTAGAGGAGAGATGTCCCTCAGAGCCAGTCTCTGCCCAGCTGGAGACAAGGAGACCAGAGGAGCTGCCTACCCTTATGGGGTCTGGGCTTGGGGTTTGGGGTCTACAGAACCATCACCAGGGTGTGGGCCTGGGCCACGGAGGCAGGGCCAAAGCACATTTCAGTTGAGGGGGGGCTCCCCCACTCTAATACACTTCTTTCTACATACTCATTGTGGAAACTGACTCTGGGTCCACCTTCTTGTTGGAAAGGAGGAGCTGGTCTTTGGAGGGAAGGCCTGTTGGGGCCTGATTACTCCTGCTTCTGAGGCAGGCCTCTGGGCCCACTGCTCTGCCCCAGCTCTGCTTCCTGCGCTCCTTCCCCAGAGCACCTCCTGCCCAGACCTACCCATTCCCTCATGGCTTCTGGGTCACTTCAGTGGAAATCTCCCAAAATGCACTGCTCATGCCTCCTGGGAGCCAGGGAGTGGGTTTAGGCATGATCCCCTGCAAAACCCTTACACCTGCCCAGTTGTCCCCGTCAGCAAGGACCCAACGCAGGCGGTTCGCAGACAAGGCAGGCCCCTGCCTCTTCCAGTTCCCATTTAAGCTCCATGTCATTTCTGATGGACCTGCTGTAAATGGGCCACCCTGTGCAATTCACAGACAAATAAATCTTTTCGCTACTCCTGGGGTGACAAGGGAATAGACTCTAGGAAAGTTCTGCCATGCAAAGGATCTTGTTCGTTAATAATAATGATAAATAGCTCACTTCTCACATGCAGTGTGAGTTACATTACACCCTAGGCTTCTATAGAGGTGGCTCGGGGCGCTGACTGGAACATGTGGGGGTGTACACCATGCACTGAGGAAGAAAGAGGGCCAGACAGAGAGAAGCGAAGAGGGAGGGTAGAGAAAACCGAAATGGCGTGAGTATAAAGAAAGAGGAAGGGGAGAGGAGGGTGGGGGAGAAGGGAAGGAGACATGGGACAAAGAAAATTAGGATGGGGTGGTGAGAAGGGCAGAAATGGAGGCCAAAAGGGAAATGGGAATGAGGGGAACAGAGTTTGTAAGAGAAAAGAGAAGGAAGGAAAGTTGAGGAGAAAGCGACTAAGTTAAGGGAAAAACAGATAATACAGAGGCAAAGATGTGGAAAGAGAAAAGAAGATAGGAGAAAGGGAAAATGCAGCCATACCCTTTACGAGGTGTGCCCCCCATTAGATGTATTCTGTGCTCTCGACTAAACGTCAGCAACAAGCCCCACCATTTCCACCATAGGTGCCATCTTTAAAGGCATTATTAATATTTATGGAATGCTTGCTAGATGCCGCCACAGTCTTTAATATCTTATTATAAAGCCTGTTATAAAATGCATTAGTAATAAATTCCTGACAGAGTTCTGACAGGGTGTGGGCGCCTCGGTGGATCCGAGCTAGGAACAGACCCTCCTGGAACACATTTT